GGAAAGACTGCATCCTGCCCCTGGACGCCCTTGGAGTGGCTCCTATCCAAAGACAGCTGGCTCCCCCTGCAAGAGCAGGGGCACTGCCACCCTGCCCTCCCAAGCAAAGCAGACCTGGCCACAGAGCTCCCCAGGGAAGGATCTGGATGCACAGCCCTTCCCACCCCGCCTGCAGCCCCGGGGGCCCCTAGGCCGCTCACACAGCTCCGAGGCCCTGTGTGACTTCATGCACCGAAAGGCACAGGCAGGGCGGCAGCACGCCCTACAGCAGGTGGCCATGGCCATGGATGCACTGGAGCGGAGAAGCCAGAGGCTGCAGGAGGTCTACCAGAAACAGAGGGAAGCCGTGCAGGGCAAGGCCATCCCTGTGGTCTCCCAGACCAGCCCCGGCATCGTCACCTTTGTCCCCAGCTCTGCACAGTCTGGGGTATGTACCTGAGGCCACTGGGTCCTCCAGCACGTGGGTACAGCTGGGGCACCAGAGGTGTCTCCCTGGGTTGAGTGGGGTCCCGCCAAGCCACCCCCAAGGAACCTGTTGCCTCTATCGAAGTCCCTGAAGCAGTCACCAGGTCCCTGAAAAGCTTAGAGAACCCAGCCTGAAATCCAGAGGAAGCCAGCCAGCTCGGAGGTGCAGGATGGGGCTGTGGCTCTCTGCCCGAAGGCTCTAACTTTGACCTTGATACCTTAGGTCTTAGAAGCCCCAGGGAATCTGGAGGTCCCGGAGCAGGGGTGGAGCAAGGTGACTTCAGGCATGGTGCAGGGGGACCAGGAGGTACCTGGCAGGTGAGTATGGGGGAGCCCATTTGAGAACATTCCTCAGGAGGGGGAGAGGCCGAGAGGCTCCTCCCACCCCACCCCCCTGCCAGGCACCCCACCCTGCGACTGCCTAAGGTGGAATTTACCCCCATTTTCCCAGAGGAGAACTTAAACGACTAACTTAGGGAGGCTGAGGCAGGAGGACTGAAAAGTTTGAATCCAGGCTGGGTGTACCTAGGCTAGGCCCTATCTCATAAGTCAATAAACAAAAAACCAACCAAACAAAAGTCAATAAACAATAGGACTAGGACACAGCCAGTGGTAGACTCTGCTATTACAAAGAGACAGGGAGTAGACGAGGGGGCCAGAGTGCGGCGGGACCCTGGCTCCCACACCTCATGCTTTTCCACGTGTTGTGTGGGCCGAGACTGCATCCCTGCTGCGTGTGAGGGGTTCCTTCGTACACGTACTGCTGACCCGCAAATTCTCCTCTGTCACTGTTGTGCCCATCATTGGATACTGTGACTCTTAACGCTATGAACGTAATGGGGGTGGATTTGTTGGGACACCTGATTTTATCTCTCTTGGAGAGGTGAGCCACAATCCTGAATGGATCTCTCTCCCAGGTTTCACTGTGTTCGCTGTGTAGTCCAGGCTTTAGCTCACTACGGAGCCCAGACTGGCCTTAAGCTCACAGGGATCCTCCTGCCTCAGCCTCCCAAGTGCTGGGCTTACTGTTGTGGATCATCGTGCCCGGCCTGATAGTATACTCTTGAAAGCCACAGTCCCAACTATTGAAATCTCAAATCAAAAATCCCTAAAAATCTAAAATCCTAAGATTTAAATTTCAAAAAATATAACTCTGGACAAAAATAATTGAGGTTGGCCAGCCAGGTAGCTCAGCAGATGAAAGTGCCCTCTTAGGCAAGGCGTAGCGGCCGGGGTTCAATCCCCAGCCTGCTGCGCTGAGATGGAGATTGAGACTGGGCATGGTGGCGCGCCTGGAATCCCAGCACTTGGGAGGCTGAAAATAGGAGGATCACGAGTCTGATCTGTGCAGTGAGACCCTGTAGACCCTGCACTAAATACATTAATTTAAAAAAGTACACAAAAAATAACCGAGGTGTTCTGCCCAGAACTCTGGAAACTGAGGCAGGAGGACTGAAAATCCAAGGTACCAGCCTGGGCTACCTTGTGAGTTCAAGACCAGCCTGGATTACCCAGCAAAGCTCCATCTCAGAAAATCTTTTTTTTTTTTTTTTAAACGTTTATTTATGTGTGTGTGTGTGTGTGTGTGTGTGTGTGTGGCCAGCTCAGCCCACCAGGGGGCGGGGCTGGCTGGCATGTGGTGCTGGGGGATCGAACTGCGGTCTCTGTGCTTTGCCCAAGCTTCTTCCAAGTAGGTGCTTTAGACCACTGAGCCATCCCACCAGCCCCAGAAAAATCTTTTAAAAGTGCTAAAACATGCATACCATAGAATCCATCTGGATGTGCTTTTAAATTTCTTTTTAGCTGAAACATAAAAATGTGCATACGAACTGGGTACCACGTGACGCATCAAAATGTGTATACACTGCTGATGTTGAACTTAAGGGTAACTGTTGCCTCAAATATTTACCATTTCTTTATGGTGGAGCCCTTCTTTTTTTTTTTTTTTCTCAGAACTGGGGATTGAACTCAGGCCCTTGGGCTTGCCAGGGGAGCGCTTATTCCACCGAGCCATCTCCCGGCCCTTGCAGAGCCTTTCAAAATCCTTTCTACTAGCTTTTTGAAACATGTAGTACCCCACTGTGACTGCATAGCTGCGTGCTGGAGCTAGTTGGCCCTGCCTGGGTGTTAGGTCCTTTGAACACCCCCTGGGTTTTATTTTTGTTTTTGTTTTGAGACAGGGTCTTACTATGTAGTTCAGGCTGGCTTTGAACTCACTATGTTGCTCACTATGTAGCCTCAAGCTCTCAGCCGTCCACCTGCTCCGGCCCCCTGAATGTTGGGGTGACGGGTGGGTGCGCCCCCACGCCAGGCACCTCCGACCCACGGAACTCTCGTCTTCCCACCCTGACACTGTCCCTTCCCAGCCCCGATGCTCTCCATTTGACTTCCGGCTCTCTGGATTGAGGACTCCGGGGACCTCTTTGAGTGGGTCCTCTCAGTACTTGTCCTTTGGTGGCTGGCTTGTGTCCTCGCACGCCATCCCTGAGGTGGCAGGTGGCAGATTCCCGGGCCCCCAATGTCCCCAGCACCTGGCGCTTTCTGCCTGTCTCCCGGAGCGGCCGAGCCGGGCTGAGCATCTGCCGTTCTCTGCCATCCTGCAGCTTCTGTCTGTGTCTGAACCGAGCATGGAACCGCCCGGAGACGCCCCTGCCCGTGTCTGCCGCCTCCTCACTAGGCTCCCCGGGACCCCCAGATCCAGGCCGGGGGCTGCATGTCTGTTTAGACCCGCAGATGGCTGAGCGGCTGGGCCTGTCAGGGTCCCTGCACGCCCAGCACAAGCAGGCCCGGCTGCAGGCGCTGGAGACGATGGCTGACGTACTACAGCAGCGCGTCGACATCCTCACCGCCAGGCTGCGCCAGAGCGAGGCCTCCGGGCTGCCCCCCCTGGGGCCCAGCACTGCATCCACTGCGCTGGCCTGCCCAGAGGCTCCCGTGCCCAGTAGGGACAGAGGGTCGCCCCGTGACAAATTCCCGGATGCTGAGCCGCTGCCGTGGAGCCCTGGCTGGATCAGTCCTGAGAGCCAGTTCCCAGGTGGGGCTGGGGACTCGGGCACAGTGACCCTGGGTGGTGGGAGTCCCCTTCTCCCTGTGTTCCCTGGTGTCTTCTCTGAAGAAGGTTCAAGGTGACAGTGGCTGGCCCTCCTACACAGCATGTGACACACGCTGCACCCAGCACCCTGTCCCCGTCTGGTGCCATGGCAGAGGAGCACAAGGCTCTGCCGGGTCCATGTCGGGCGCACCCAGGGGCTCCTGCCACTGTGACACAGGCCCCGGCCTGGCAGTGCCCTGCCGTGCTGATGCACTGTGACGCTGGTCCCCTTTCCAAAGGTGCTGTGCAGCTGGAACAGAGGCTGCAGGAAGACTTGGCTCCCTTCCAGGCCGCTGGCACCAGCACGAGGAGGTGAGCTGGGGTGCCTGGGTCCCCCCTAAGGCACCCGACCCCTTCAGCAGCCCAGGGCCAAGGCCTGGCCGGGCTGGCTGACGGCACCTGAGATCCGGACCAGGCAGGTCTGGCTCTGATGTGGACCTGCGGCAGCTCCGGAGCACCTCTGCAGCTGAGCAGCGAGACGCCCCAGGACTGGTCCCCCACAGACAGCCTTGGGCTGGCTCTGGGCCCATGGCAGCTCCGGTCGTGGCCGCTCCTGCCAGCAGTCACTGCGAGCCACCACGTCACCCACCGTGTGATCCCGCCTGTATCTGAGACCCTTGGGCGCTTTCATCAAGTTTTGCCTCTGGCCCCGGCCATCTTGGTGTCCTGGTCACATAAGTGCATCTGGGGTCCCTTCTGTGGGCACTGGGTTCCTGCTTTGTGGCTGCCACCTCACCCAGGTTCTTCCTGCTCTTGAGGGCACCCCTGTGGTGCCACAGCGTCCCCAAAGCTCCTGTCCTGTGGGCAGTCCCATGGCTATCCTGCACTGGACACTCCTCTGAGGATTTTCCAACTGTCCAAGTGGTCCGCTGGGGTCCCCCATAGGACTTGTGGACAGGCAAGGACCCCCTTGAGCCTTCTTCCACTACCCCAAAGTTGTCCCTGCACCCCAGTGCCTGACCCTCTTCTGGGTATTGCCACTTCCCTCACCTGAGCGGTCCTGGGCTTGACACCCAGTCAATGGAGGCTCAGGGAGGGGGGCGCCACTCACTACGCGCCTGGCAGGTGGCGAGCGAGCCCACATCCTTAGCTAGCATGGACCAAGGTGAATGCTTCCTGCATTGTGGGGTGCCACAGGTCTAGAGGAACAGTTCAATGAGCCCCTTCAGTGGGCAGCCCCAGGACTTTAGGGATCAAACCCCAGCTACTAGCTGACCCTGGGCAAAGCCAGGCCCCATCTCAGGACTCCCTGAGAGGTGGGGTGTTGAGCTGAGCGTATCCTCTCCATTGCCCCTACTTCTGGGGTTCCCCCTGGGAAACCCACCCCTCTTTTCCTGATACCTGGGTCCCTGGGCTGGCAGGCTTAGGGTTTGGGGTTCTCTGGGTGCTTTCTTCATGCAATCCTTGTGGCCAGTAGGGGGCAGCAGTGGGCTACCAATGTGTCTGCGTGCCCCACCCCTACCCCAGCGCGAAGAAGGGGAGGGAGCCTGGGGGAGGGGCACTGGGGAGAGGTTAAGGTGAGTACACCAGGCTCCCAGGTGGACAGGGGAGGTGCCCCGGTGGCTGCCAGGCTGGCTGGGCCTCTGAAATGTTCTGAAGTACGGCTACCCCTCTCCATTCTGTGGGGCTTGGCTGGGGTCCATGTCCTGCCTTCACCCCAGGACCCAAGGAGGCAGCCCCTCATCCAGCAGGGACACTGGCACTTGGCAGGTGGGGGCTGAACTGTGGCCTGCGTCCCAGCAAGCTGCCCCCACCTCACCTCTCAGTCCCCAGCCCTGGTAGGGGTCACCTGCCTGAGTCCAGCCACCCGAGTCCTCGCTGACAGCTTGGGTGCCCCACACATGGCTCCTATGTCTTAGGCCCTCTGTCTGCCAGGGTGGCAGTGCCACAAGAACAGGGCCCACCCAGCCATGGGGAGGGGCAAGGCTGTCGCATGGCCCTCGTCCCCCCAACTGGTGGAGGAGCTTGGCCACACGGCCCTTGACCTGAACCCCCCAGCCTGCAGGCAGTACCCTTGGAGCTGGCAGAGGGCTCTGCTCCTGCTCTGGAGCTCTCTGGACCCTGAGCTCAGGTTCTGGCTGTACCTCACAGGCCTGGCTGGCTTCGCCCACTCCGTCGGGGCGGCAGGGCACATACAGTGCCGTCTCTTGCAGCTGCCCAGCAGGTCACAGGCTGGGCCCTGCCTGGGCTTTGGCCCTCAGTGCCGCCCTGGGCCTGCTGCAGCTGTGGGCACCCTGTTTTCCATGGGTGGGGTGCAGTCTTTGGTCTCCTGCCCAATTGGGTCAGCCCAACTTCATTCCCACCTATGCTTTGTGTCTCCAGCACTCCGGGAGTACCTGCTACTCCGCACCCTACCTGTGGCTCCCCGTGGCTTGAGGAGATGCTGGCAGCCAGAGGGGTGGGCTTGGTGACGCCCTGGACACCCCGGAGCTGCGGTAAGGGCGAGCCCGCAGACAGGCCCTGGGCTGACTGGCCAGGTGGCCAGGGGCATCTGCGGGGGACCCCTGCCACTGCCTAGAGCAAGCATGGCCCACTCATGCAAGCATGGGCAGGGGAGGCTTTTCTACACGGTCGGCCTCTGCACATTCCTATTAAAGCATTTCCAGGGCTTTGGGCCCCGCTGTCTGCTCCATGCTCCTGTACACCCATGGTAAGGCAGCTGGGGTGGGGTCGCCCTCATCCTGTGGACAGCCAGGCTCCTGACACCCCAGGCATCGCTCCCATGGACGACACGTCCCCATGGCCACCAGCGCGGGGTGCATCTTTCCCTTTGGCTACTTAGGTGTATTTGTTTCTGGGTACAGCGAGGAAACGCTTGGGGCTGAGATGCTGGTGTTCAGCAGGATCGGGTGCCAGGCTGCTGTTGCAGAAGGCGCTGGAGCCCTGGGGGCTGGTGGCCCGGGCCCCGATCCCATCCTGGCGGAGCACCGGGTGCTGCTGCGAGGACTCCGGCTGCACTTATCTGCCGGTTTTGTCTAAAGAGCAGGTTCTGAGTGCAGAAGTAATGTAGGGTGGGCTTGACTATGACCCAGCACAGCCCCGGAGCTCCTCCATCTCCTGGTGGGTGGGAGGCCAGTGTAGGGGGGACAGGGAGGATTTCAGACCCAGTTCAGACCAGCAACCAAGCGCGGCTTTCGGTATTGCGGGCTTCCTCGCCATGAACACCCTCCCTGGGCCCGGAGAGCGCACCTGGCAGCTGTGGGCTGGCCCTCCTATGGACAGGCACAGGGGCCATGTGTGTATGTACACCTGCAGGTGTGTGCAGACGGGGCTCTGGGGCTCACCCCTCGTACCTAGCAGGTGGGTGTGTCCCCGGGATATACAGGTGGCCCATGCCTCTGGCTCCCGGAAGCTCCTTCTTGGGGGAGGGGTTCTCCTAGGCCCCAGGGGTGCAGAGGGTCCCAGTCCACAGCTGACCAGGGACAGCACCAGCTGGCAGAACACCTGCCATGGAGCACTGCACGGTGTCCAAGCCCTGTGCTCAGGGTGCTGCGTGCTGGAGTGGGCAGAGAACTCAGTGCTTGGCGTTCTGCACCAGGAGGAGCTCTGTCTGGGGTGGGGGCAGAACACACAGCCCCGAGACCTGCTGCCAGGGAGGATGGCGCGCTCTGACCCCGCTGTCCCCACGGGGACAGCAGCGGGAGGCCTCTCCCCTCCAGCTACTACCATGGAGGCAGCGCCATGCCTTGCACTCCGTGCTTGACCCCAGCCACACTGCTTGACTGAACTTCCTGCAGCCAGACGGGCAAGGATGGAGGCCAGCAGGCGTGTGTGGCCACCCAGCTGTTGGCACTCAGCCATTGCTGTGTAATAGAAATAGAAATTTACATTCTGCTTCAGCTTAGCCCCAAGTGGCAGATGTGGTGCTGGCCACTCTGTGGATGGGCTCCCCAAGGGTGGGCATCTTGCCCCCCTCATCTGGGCAACCCCGCAGTTCCTGGGAGCAACAGGGGCAGGCCCAGAGCACAGCCACCAATAGGCCACTGTGCTCACAGCCACCAGCTGCTTCACCATCTGTGGCCCTTGGGGGAGGCTGGAGCAGAAGGGTGCCCTGAGGGTGCATTCCGGGGGCTCCTGCCTACAGCAGAGTCAGCCTCTGTAGCTGGGGTGACCCCACCTGGCCTCATGGGCTGCTTGGCCAGCTCAGAGCCAGTTGCTGCTCCTGCCCCACGGCTCAGAGCTCCAGGCTGCACAGCACGGAGGCTCCTGGTAACCTGGCGGGGTGCTGCTGTGGCCAGAGAGGACGGAGCTGCCTCTGCTTAGGCTGCGTGGGCTGCAGAACTGAAGCTCCCAGCGCAGGCGGGGGAGACGCCCCCGCTCAGCCTCCCCCAAGGGTCCCAGCTTAGAGCCCCTGGAGGATTCTCTTTCTCTGCGCAGGAATGGTAGCTTGGAACACATGAAATTGCCCGCTAGGGCAGCCTGCAGCCACTGCTGAGCAGGAGGATGGCAAGTTTGAGCCCAGCCGGGCAATCTGTTGCCTTGATGAGACCCCACCTCTAGATAAAAACCAAGAAAAAGGTGGAGACGGAGCTCTGTGCAGAGATCCTGGGCTCAGTCCACCTCACTGACAAAATAAGAAGTCGAAAACCCAGACCAGAGCTTTACAAGTTTCTACTTCCCATGGTAGCCGGGTAGAGGGGCTCCTGGGAAGCCCCATGCCCACCCGCCTCTCTGCCATCCCAGCTCTGCATGGCCGTCACTCACAGCTCTTCAGCTGCTCAGAAGCTGAGTTCTGTCCAGGAAGGAGCACTCGGCCTAGGCTGGCACGCTCCGGCCACCGGGCGGGGATGCTGGCCACTGCCCCTGATAGCAATAGCTGAGGGGCTCCATCACCCAGGCCAGATAGCCTGAGCCTGGGACCGAGCCGGCCTTCCTCTGCGTCCCTGCCAGCTGTCACAGGGACCCAGGTGGAAGTAGGCAAGAGGCGCTGGCCACACCCAGCTTCCCAGGCGTCCCAGCTACCTGGTGCAGCCTCCACAGAGCACAGAGTCAGAACTGGATGCCTGAGGGAGAGAAAGGAAGAGAAGGCCCCACTGCTATCCTGGGGTTTGGGAACACTGGTGAACTTCATGGTCAGGGGAGGGGGCCTGGGAAAGCCCCATAAGTCCTGAGGGGGACCCGGTCCCTCCAGGGAAGTAGACTGCCACATCCCAAGGGGGCTCTGACCATAGGTGCCCACTGGGGCTGAGCCGAGGACCCAGGCTTGCCTGGTGGCTCCTGACCTGCAACCCTGGGGAGGAATTGGGGGTGGGGTCAGCGTGCGCCATGCAATGGGCGCAGGTGCACATGTGTCCTCCCTCTTGGCTATGGCTGAGGATCTTCCTGACATGGCTGATGCCAGCCCTCCCCACCCCAGAGGTTGGGTGTTGGCCCTCCACCCATTCCTGCCTCAGTTTCCTTGCAGGTTGGAGAGGCCACGTGGCCAGCTGTGGAGTAAGCACTAGGACTGCTGGGCAGTGAGAGAGGCCTCCCTGTCACTCACTGCCCCCCCCCCCGTGGTCCACAGGTCCCCAGGAGCCCAGGGTGCTGCGTCCCAGAGGCCGCGGTGGGCATCTTGCCAACTTCCAGGCAAAGCCCTTGAACTTCCCAGAGTCACTAAAGGTAGGTCCCAGCCTGTGACGGTGGGCCAAGGACAGCTGTTCCCTTAGGCTGCTTCTGTTTAGGGGCATCCGAGGCAGAGCAGAAGGCTCTGGAGCACAGAGCCGTAGGACTTAGAAGTAGGCCCCCTTGCTCCCCATTATGGGATGTGGACACAGAGATGGGAGGGCGCAGGATGGACGGGGAGGCCCAGGCAGGCAGCAGGTTTCCCCAGAGGACAGGGCAGTCACTCAGGGCCCTCCTCAGCAGGACCCAGGACTTGGGCTGCTGCTGCAACGGGAGAAGCGTCAGCAGGAGCAGGAGCAGGAGCAGGAGCAGGAGCAGGAGCAGGAGCAGGAGCAGGAGCAGGAGCAGGAGCAGGCCCTCCTGCGGCAGCGGGCAGAGGAAGAGGCCTGGGAGACGCAGATGGCCTTGGACAGGCTGCTCTTCACGCATCAGCTACAGGTCAGTCACCGCCCGCTGCCCGTCCCCAGGCCTTCTCCCGACCCCAGCACCACCGCCCGCTGCCCGTCCCCAGGCCTTCTCCCGACCCCAGCACCACCGCC